AATTCTGTTTCATGTCTACATACTCAACACTTATGTTAAAACAATTGCATGAGGTCTCATGTCTTCAGCTTGTTCTGAGTTGCCTAAAAAACTCAGTTAATGCAGCTTTAGTTGTTCAGTTTATTGTGAAGTTTTGAATTTCAAGCTGCTTGATTTTTATGGCATAGACGGCGAGAATTTCCCTTTATGTTGGCTGTTGTGTACTCATATCTATGCCATGATTGTCTTTAATGAGCGCTTATTGCCAGATACATGAAGGCTCCCTGCAGTGCTGGCTTCATGTTTCCATGAGCTGTGCTGTTATCAGAGTTCTACCAAGTGGAGGCTGTAACACAAACCACAGGCCTGAGGTGGCACCATTTTCAGCACAACTTCCTCTTCCTAATGCATTCATCCATTACAGTTAGACGGAGGGGATGTTTTATTGCGACCAGGAGATATTCAAGGGTATAGACACAGACACAGAAGAATGTCACGGCCCATTTAATGCTCGACAATACAGCTGTGGAGTCTAAGAGTGAGGAGCAGCCAGGGAGAGGCCATTAGGGATTTTGCTTATATAAGCATAATCAAATTTCCCAGCAGCACCCCGATGTTTAGGCTGAATCAATGGGGCAGGAGACCATTTGGCATGACCTTGTCTGTATTTGTCCAGAGGAAAAAAGGCCTTGAGAACTCAGTATTGGTAATGAATAATGATTCAGCGATTCTTTGCAGCTGGAAAAAAGAATCCAGAAGAGGAAATAGTGTAATGGTGGTGGACAGGGAAGTTGCAGCCTGGAGTGATGATATATTTGTTTTGTCAGCTCTTTCTTTGAACTGAGAAAATATGTAGAATATAAAAAGTGTAACTGACAAATCTCTCGCAAAAGCTTAAAGAAGCCTAAGCCAAGAGCCCATCTCCTCCTATGTCTCCTCTCCCACTCTTTCTCTCTCCTCTCTCCTCTGCTTTCACTCTGATTAATGCTATGGCCTCACGCCATCATGGCGAGCTAAGCAGGCCACTCCACAAATTGCCTTTTGCAGCCTGAAGGGGCGGGAAAAACTTTTATCTCACTGTGATAAGCGTGGGCATAGGTTTCTCTGGACTTGGGCTTTATTCCTATGAATTAAAATGAATTAGCCAGTCTATGCAGACAACCTGAAATCAATTAGACCCAGACACAGGAGCGAGCAGTGAAAGCATCACTAGGCTAAAGAATTTCGCTCCCAAACCCAGGCAGCCAATTATAATAGTGTAATGAACTGTAGCACACATTGTTGGAGAAGTAGAACTTTTTTATTGCAAAACAGCTTCTTTTGTCTGAGCTGTGGCAACTAATTGGGAAAAGGCTGAGGTCAGACTGATCCTTGTTACATGTCAGATAAATGTCCTATTGGTGAAGGATGTGAGATAAATTGGAAAGTCTCAAGGAGCAAACAAAAGTAGGGTCCAAACCCGGTGATCATACTTGTATCACATGAAGGATGTTTCTGCATGCCTAACCTTAAAGGGACCTTTCACACCAAAATCAAAATACATATTTTTCCTCTTAACCTGTCGTGCTATTTATGCTATTTATTAGTCTAGACCGTATGAGTTGCTGAGTGTTGGCGATATCGGCTGTAGAGATGTCTGACTTCTCTCCAATATAGTGGAACTAGATGGCACTCAGCTTGTGATGCTCAAAGTGCTGAAAAAATACATTTGAAAAATTCAACAGCAATGTCTTGTTCCAGAAATTACGACCAGGTAACTCAAGATAATCCACAGACTTTGTTGTGAGCAGTTTCATGTAGGAACTACTTCCTTTCTACCATTTCCATTACTAGCTCACCTAGCACCACTGAGTTAGCCAATGTTACAGCTAGGCCGAGGAGGATGTCATAATGTTTTTATTGCTTGCGTTTTCAGATCAAATAGGTCTGGGGACTCCCTGAGAGAAACTGCCAAACAGGTAGCTCCCCTGAGAACTACTTACCTTCAAGGGCTTTTTTTACTGTGTACTATTTTTACTACTGTTTTCAGTGTTCCCAAAAGGAATGCTTGAGTGAATTAAAATCACATATATGCTAAGTAAAGCCTGGACATCGCGGTCGGTCCATATGTCCTTGTTTTCTTCCCTTTTTTTGGTTACAAGCTGTTGTTTGTTTTTTTTATGTTGTCTGTTGTTTACACAGCTACTAGGTTTTTTAAATGCATTGGCTGTGTTTGACCAATCAACCTACGTTTACATTACTCATGGTTTTTCTTTTAGGAGAGTTCCAACTCTGAAAAAGCAGACACAACAAAAAGGGGGGTTCTTACAACTATGAAACAGTTTCTCCCATCCACAAAGCCTCTTGTTGTGAGCATAACTTCTGTCTACTGAACACCACTAACCATATCACCACACAGAAGAACTCATGGACAAGAAGCTTGCGCTTGTGACAGAGCGAGATAAAAACAGTAATGGCGTCCTCTTAAACTGCTCAGTGGTGCTAGCTGAGCTAGCAGTAGATGCATGCTAACTTCTGTGTGGTGATATGGTTGGCAGGTGTGGTTCGGTAGAAAGATAACAGTTCCTACAGGAAACTGCTCACAACAAAGTCTGTTGATTATCTTGAGTAACTGGGTCATGATTTCTGGAAAGAGGCATTGCTGCTGAGTTTTTCAAATGTGTCTTTTGGGCACTTTCAGCATCACAAACTGAGTGTCATCTAGTTCCATTAGGCAGACACCTCTACAGCCAATATCTCAAATACTCAGCAGCTCACACAAAAACTATCTAGACTGATTAATAGCAATACAGGTAGGAGGAAAAATATGTATTTTTGATTTAGGATGAACTATCCCTTTAATGAAGAAAGTCCTCTGAACTAAATGACAAATACAGTGGTTCTCATTGCCTTTACAATGACCTGTATTTGTGTTTTGTAACCTGATCAATAGGTTCAGCTTCTTTTTTTAATTTTTGGCCCCTGGGCCTATAAGTGGGTTAATGTGGCCTTGTCCTATTTTAAAAAGATCAATGTAATACAGAAAGCAGAAAATGATAAATAATAATGAGCTCTATTATAAGCCAGTATGAAACTGACATCACATCACAAACAGTTTTTATTGAGGGTAGATTTTCAGATGTAAAGCTAGAAAAATAGACAAAGCTGGCAGAATTCTGGCAGAGAAATAAAAGCTGGCATGATTTACTCAGCCTTACAGACACAAACATTTCTATCATCCTAATACTCTGAGATAACAGACTTGTTACCTTTGTGGCATGTTACTTTCATATCAGATCTACCGTGCAGCTTTACCCAGAGTCGAATTAAGTTTAGACCATCAGATTCATGACTCGTGAATTTACTCTGCGGGGGAAACTGGGTCTGGAAATGAATGAGTAATATCATGTAAACAGCTGGTGTGAGTGTTACTGCAGCAGTACAACCTCCAGCCCTCTGCTGCCGGGTGCTGAGCAGCTGACCTCAGGCAGTTGGTGGTTTGCTGTCTTTCTCTGAGGCACCTTAGCATCTTGATGGTAGCTGTTAAAGCAGGAAGTAGCATTTCTTCCTCAGTACATACACACACACACACACACACACACGCACACACACACACACACACACACACACACACACACACACACACACACACAGATACATACCTGTGCATACAGCATTGCAGCTCACCAGAGCTTAATATCCCAACATTGGACATGCTCCAATCGCCAGAAACACATACAACCAGTTTTGGTGCCATAATTGCTACCAGAAATGTTGTTGATGTCTCACTTAAAAACAGTTTTGGTGGCACAGTTGCCACCAGAAATGTCGCAAATGTCTTACTGAAAAACAACCATTTTCTGTGGCGCGATCACCCCTTGAAATACCGCAGATGTCCTGCTAAAAAATCAGTTTTGGTGGCACATTCACAGGGGGAAAAGGTGCCGATTTCTTGCTTAAAACAACCAGTTTTGGCGACATGATCCCCACCGTAAATGCCATTGATCTCTCACTAAGAAACCGCCGGCTTCAGCAGATGATGGAAAAGCCCCAGATGTTGCACTGAAAAACACCCAGTTTTCATGGCACAGTTGCTGCCAGGAATGCGGCCGCTATCTCACTAAAAAGAGTGTCCAGTTTGGTGGCACAATCATTGCTAGACATGCTGTCAATATCTCACCAAAAAACAACCAATTTTGGTAGCACAATTGTCACCAGAAATGCCACCGCAACCAACCAGTGTTGCTGTTTGTTGGTCTAGAACAGTGGTCTGCAGCTTTGTAGCGATTTTGCCCAGGTGTTACATCATTTAGCTTTCCCTCAACCTTCCCCCAAAGTCAGCCATATACATGTAACCAGAATGATGTCACTTTAGAAATGCTGGTATGTTGATAATGTATGAAACATACTAATGAAACATTTCCATAGTTTGCAGAAGCATACAATGCCAACATTATCACCTGATGACTTGGCTGGTTGTTTTCTCGTTGTCTCTACCACAAGGTCTCCTGACAATTCCCACAGGTTCAAATCTATCTTGGATTGGCACACAGAAAATACGCCTCACTCTCCAGTCTTTCTGCCTTTCCTGTTTTTTAACTTACTTATTTATTACTGCTCCAGAGCTCCAATATCAAATGGACCCTCTGTTCACTGCAGCAAGACAGATGGCTCTGAGAGATAAAGCCAATTACTGTTGGCTGTCTGTTAAAGCAGCCACCGCAGAGACTTAGCAGTGGAGAGAACCTCCAGGGAATGCAAATGGAAATCCTGGCTCTCCTTTAATGAAAAATTGCATAGTGAATAGAGCTCTCGCTACCTCCTGCAGCAGTTAGTTAAGTCTCCATGTGCTGAAATTACATGTGTACCCTGTTCAGATGCTGATGGCTCAATCATTTGCTGTATCACTCCTCTAGGTTTTTACAGCTGCCTCTGTGTCTTTAAAGGAGATATCAGCCCAGGTTATTAGTGGAGGAGCACCTCTTTATCTTAATAGTGTAATTAACCTGCAGGTGTTAATTGTTTTTTCTGTCTTTGTTAAGGATGATCCCGGCCTCCAGCAAAGCATTCCTGGTGACGAATCTGGTGTCGGGAACGCGTTACGATCTGTGTGTGCTGGCCGCCTGGGATGACACCGCCACTACGCTCACGGCCACAAACGTGGTGGGCTGCACCCATTTCTTCACCCAGGATGACTACCCTCAGTGCCAGTCTCTGCCCAGCCAGCTGCTTGGAGGCACCATGATCCTGGTGGTGGGGGGCATCATTGTGGCCACTCTGCTCGTGTTCATCGTCATCCTCATGGTGCGCTACAAAGCTGCAGATACTGAGCCCCCAGTGGGTAAACTGACCAACGTCAGCGACACACACTCTCAGACCAACGGGGGTCGACTCGGGCAAAATGGACTTCTCATGCCCCAGTCTCAGCCTCAGCCTGAGCTGGTCAAGGCCAAAGTGACTCTGCAGGATGAGGTGGTGGAGTTCAAGTGCGGCTCCCTCCAAAGCAGCCTCACCTCTTCTTCCTCGTCCTCAGGTTCCATGGCGGCGGGATCTTACAGCCCCAACAGCACACTTGCCAGCATTTGGAGGTCAGCTCCCTCCAAGCCCCGGCCCAACCTGGACCACCTGCTCGGGGCCTTCACCTCGCTGGAGCTGCGGGGGGCGCAGGGCCGTGACCCAGGAACCTCCAGTAGCGCCACAATGGCGACAGGGAAACCACACACAGACAGGGAGCCGCTGCTGGGCCGGACGCTGGACTCCAGCCTCAGCCGGCTCCTCATGCTACCTTTGGACTCCAAGCCAAAAAGGAGCCAGTCCTTCGACATGGGAGACGTACCAAGCGCTGGGGCCACACAGCTGTGCAACAAACCACGCAGGATCAGCAGTATCTGGACTAAGAGGAGCCTCTCTGTAAATGGCATGCTGCTGCAGTGCGAGGAGGAGGGGGACACGGGAGGGAGCAAGGGTACGATAGACAGCGCTGACTGGGTGATGGAGAGTACTGTCTAGGAAAGATGGAGGACCATCACACTGTCAAACACTGCCTAATTGGACGGCCAACAGCCATGCCAAGACAGACCCACTGTTCTCAGAGCCTTTGTCCCGCATGAAGCACACACATTTTCATCCCTTCCACTCCACCGCTCAGACTCAAGTGGGACAGGATGAGGGGTTTTCACAGTCATAGCCAAATACAAACTTCAGGAATAAGACCTTTGGATTGTTTTGCCTCACACTTTGTACAGAGATGGATTAACACGGCACCAAGAGCTGAAGGGAAATGACTGAGCAGTACCCTCTGCTATAGTGATCATGCCCTTGGACTGTTATTATACTGTATAAATTTAAAGTATGTAATGAAATTAAAGTTTTATATTTTTTATTTTGCTGGTCAAACACAAATGATCCATTACTGGCCTTTGCCTTGACATAAGAGCAAGGTCATTACACTATAAAAACTTCTACTGTAAATTCATCCTCATTTCAGTTACCTACCGACGCTGTTTAACCTTCTTTGACGGAATGGTGAAGTATATATACGTAGATGTGATGCTATGATTCATGAAGATTTAAGAAAAAGATTTATTGACAAAGCTGTATGTGAATATATTTACTTTCTATACAGAGTATATATTTGAGGGGTCACTCAATGATTCTGTATGCTTATCATATCAAAATTTATGTGACTGCATAGATTATGAAACCCATCATTTCCTAAACTATGGCTGTACTTTATGTGAAGACTCAGTTCATTGTTTAAAAAATGCCAAATTATCGAGGAGGAAAGTGGTGCAATGGGCAGGATGTCCCAAGACAATTAGGCCTGTTTATTTCATGTACATTTGGTAGATCCAGTAGCAAAATGGATGTTTTTTATGGGTTTTGTTGTTATTAATTGAAGTTTTTTTTTTTAAAAAAAAAGATGAAATCCCTGTTTTGTTACACCACCTTATAATGCCCTGAAACCAAACATCTCCTCCAAGTTCAGTGAAATTAACTGCACATTCAGGGCAATGTTGGATACTACAACAAAACCAGGATGTATATTTTTGAACATATATACACAGATATACTGAATAAGAATAAAACGCTTTTGTTTTTGCTCCAGTTTTTCAGGAGTCGAAAAAAAAGATCTAAGGCTTTTTCTATGCACACAAAAGAATTATTTCTCTAAAATGTTGTTCACAAAATAAATAAAATTAAAATCTGTGTAAATGAGCATTTTGCTAACATAATCCATAATCTATCCACCTGACAGATGCCTTAAAATTTGAGGGAGCATGCCATTGGCATGCTGACTGCAGGAATGTCCACCAAAACTGTTGAACTGAATGTTTATTTCACTAGCATAAGCTGTCTCCACTGTAATTTCTGAGACTCTGCAACAAACCTCACAATGGCAGACCTTGTGAAACCAGCTCAGTACCTCCACCTTCACTTGCAAGCTACTAACATGAACATCCAGATGGTTTGTGAGCGTTTGTGCAGAAATTCTTCAGTAGTGCAGACCAATCGACTGAAGATGCTGGATGCAGAGGTTCTGAGCTGTTGTGGTTTAACATAGTTGTAAAGACAGTTGGATGTACTGCCAAATCCTCATAAAACGCCATTCAGTTCAGTTCGACAATCAGCATACCAATAATACACTACCTCAAAACTTGCAACATTGGTAGTAATTATGGGCTTTTATTGTGGCCTTCCCAAGGTACACCTGTGTAGTAATGATGCTACTAATCAGCATCTTGTTACTCCAACATCATTGAAAACCAGCACTTGGTCAATGACTTCTGGCATCAGACACCAACTAAATAAGCCATCCTTTCACGTCTGTACAATACTTGGCCAGTCACCATAGCGTATGGCAGTGTCAGGGGGGAAACGCAGGAGGACAGCAACAAAAGTTGTTGTACTGCTGCGGAAATCCGAGGTGGCGGAAATCTGAGTAAGTGGGCAGGAGGGGTGGTGTATGGGTCCAACAACGAGTGATGGCCAAATGAAGCCTCATGAAGCATTTTCTTTATTTTCTGAGCCCACTAGATGGCGATCTTGGTTTAAAGAGAGAGGCTCAAAGAAAAGCAATTCAGTGTGCTTACAACCTTTTGTTGAACAAAGAGTGCCATATAGTGGGCTCAGAAAATAAACAAAATGCTTCAAGAGGCTTGATTTGGCCATCACTACCAACAACCAGCGACTTTCACCTGGAAGGCTGATGCCCGCTTCTCAAATCAATGTAAAGCCAAACCCTGTTCTTTTTTTCGAAACCTAACTACATGCTTTTGTTGGCAAAACGTAACCACTCGCATTTGTTGTTGAAAGAAAATATTAAGTGTGTTTATTTTGAAAGTGCAAACAGTACATTTCCTGTTAAAAGGGAAGTGTATTTTGAAAACAGACAATACATGTAGTAGGCTGAAGTTGACAACAACCAACACACCCAGGGTACACTACACACCATACAGTTTCTCGACGTGGAAAGTCCATGACCAAAGTCAATATGTGATGAATGTGTTGGCCACACCTGTCAGGTGGATGGATTATCTTGGAAAAGGAGAAGTGCTCATTAATAATACAGATTTTAACCAATTTGTGAACAGAATTTAAGACAAACATGTTTATTGTGTGCATAGAAAAAGTATTTGATATTTTTTTAACTTGTGAAAAATGGGAGTAAAAACAAAAGTGTTATTATCTTTGCTCAGTGTACATACATACAGACATACATACATAGTTCTGGTTTCATACAACTTGAGTCTTATTTTTGTACTTTTAAACATCAGTTGTAACAGTAATAATAATGTTATACTTGTCAAAGGTATTGTTGAAATCTGGAAACACAGCATCACCATAACAAAGCCCAGTAGGGCAAGAAACACAAGTAGTCAGACCATAATACCAATAATTTATCCATATTATTTTCACCAAAAGTTCCAAGCAATATGGGTAATGATGATGATGATGATGATGATGATAATAGTGATAATGATCACTTCACAGGCATGGTAGTTTCACCCCAAGCACCCCATGTACTAATGGCAGGTCCAGACTACATGATATCACCCCAATGATAGCCTGGTACAGTGTTGTACGGTGTCGGCTCGGATTGTGAACAACAATAAGTGTCATACGTGATAATCCATCGTTTTCTCATGTAGTGTGTCATAGTAGATGACAACCGACGCCACATCTGGGATGCCTCACAACATCTGGACAGAAAGCATGTTTGATTTTCTGTTTTGTCGTTCATGACAAAAGCCATCACTTTGACCAATAGAAACACAGAGCGATCTGCTGCTGTGTCCAACTGTACGGCAACAGCTTTTTTGATATTTCCTCTAGGGATGTTACCACAGAGTAAAAATGGAAAAATGATGGCGTGAGGCAGAGGCACTTTAGCAACCCAGTAGGCACTGCCATTAGCGTAAGGCTAGCAAAGAATGTTGTTTCTTCATAATGGAGGATATAAAGTTATAAAAGTAAAAATAGTAGCAGGGCTTTTACTTACCACAACTGCAGAGGGCATTAGAAACGGGTTTTTATTTATTATTCCCTCTGTATTTTTATATTTTGACTTATAATCTGCTCCCGTTTGCCTTGATAAGTTTTAGGCAGTGTGCTGTCACTTCAAACTCAACACTTCCTGTATCCAATTAAAATTAAAATTAATTCATTTCAGCTGAAAGATTCCCTTTATTTTATAAAAGGGCTTTTATTGTGAAACATTTGCAGGCACTTGTTATGGAAAATTCAAAGACCTGCATAGTTTGCATGCAGTACTTCAAATGTAGCTCCTGCCATCTGGTGGTGCTTTTTTTTTACGTTATTACATTAACAGTTCAGCTGGGACATGAACAACCATAGTGACTGAAATAGTAATAATTATAATAACAACAGGACAAGATCTGATGACATCATGCATGTCATAAAAGACGACCAGGGATGGTTGGTTGTGGACTAACATGTAGTCTGTCTGTCGGCCAAGTCACAGCAAGATTTTATGACTCCACAAACACCCTAATCTGACATAGTGACTGCTGGAACAGACAAATATGTCGTGTCGTCCTTTGCTGCATGTCGACCCCTCTCTCTAATCTTTCCTAGCTACCTTCAGCTCTCCTAAAAAAAGCTCAACAAATAATTTTTAAAAACTTTACTTTTCCTTTAGCCTATCATGGGCTATTTTAATTAACTTGAACTTGGACAAGTCAATACTGTGATTTTCCTCATCACTTCCTGTCATGCCACCAGCAACAATATATTGATTCTTTACCAAAATAGGTCATCTGTATGTGAGGTCCATTAGTGTGATAACAGTCCATTGGTGTGATAATGGTCCATTATCACAGCAGGACATGAAATCTGTGTGAGTGTTGCTGAGAGGCGTACAGTTTTAATTTAGTAACAAACCACAATGAAATCCAAAGTGGGGCATTGTACTTGATTATTACACAGGTTAAAACTACAGAACCAGTGTCAACAAGCACAACATAGCATTCTCTCTTGCCATGTTTCCTTTGGGACCCAAGTTGTATAAACCAGACACTCCCCTTCCCCTTTACTCCTTCGATCAGTAGGCTATCTTTAAAATATACAGGTCCAGTCAGTAAGTCTTTCATGACCACCAAGGTTGTAAATTACTAACATCATTCAAAAAGTCCTGGAATTTGTTTTGAGATTGTGCTTTAAGTTATTTTATACAAATACACCTTTTACAATTGATTGACATCACATTTTGGAAACTAAATTTCTCCATTTCCTCCTTATACACCAGTCAGTATTCATAGAATTCCTACAGATGATATTAAACCACCCACGGGAGATATGGGTTTAATAAGTAAAAGTAATAATGAACATTTCTATTAAACAATATGAAGTTGTTTGCTTTTACTGTCTGGTGTTGCATGTTTCTGCTGAACTGACCCCATGAGACAGTTTGGTTCGGTGTATACACCCATGCTGTCATTCCTCACATGCTGTCTGAATGACTTTTTTGTGATATTTCTGATATGATTGCGTGTGTACAGTGTCTCTATATATTGGATTTTTTTTTTTTTTTTTTACCATACTCCAGTTGAAATATGTGTGGCAGTTGAACTGTACAGTACGAGAGGAGGGGAGGGGCAATGGAGCAACTTAACTGCACATTTCTTACCTGGAGCTGTAAAAGATGTTTGTGTGGTCAAATTTGTTGTTTTTGCTACTAAGATAAAACTAAAAAATTCCTGAGACAGCCGTGTGATGTCAGCATTTTCTCTGCAGCACTTGGGTTATATGGGAACTGAAAATCACAGAAACTATATAATGAAAATGAATGCTATATATCAAAACAAAGGCAATCATCAACATGAGACCCACAAGGTTGAAGCACATGGTAGAAAAAAGGTGATGAAAGTGGATTGGATTTACAAAATGGCAATGAATATCTATATGAGTTAAAACATTATGGTTTATTGTATCTATTCATTTGATCAATTCATGGTTATTGGATAAAATTATGTTTACATTTGGTGGTTGAACAACAAAACCTACACTCGCTGGCCACCTTATTAGGTACAGCTTGCTAGTACTGGGTTGGACCCCCTTTTGCCTTCAGAACTTTTGAGAGATTTTACTCCATATTGGCTCCATTGTGACATGGCGCGTTATCCTGCTGGAAGTAGCCATCAGAAGATGGGTACACTGTGGTGATAATGGTCAATGATATGGTCAGCAACAGTTCTCAGGTACGCTGTGGCATTTAAACAATGCTTACTTGGTACTAAGGGGCCCAAAGTGTGCCAAGAAAATATCCCTCACGCCATTACACCACCACCAGCAACCTGAACCATTGAAACAAGGCAGGATGGATCCATGCTTTCATTATGCTAACGCCAAATTCTGCCCCTACCATCTGAATGTCACAGAAGAAATCCAGACTCATCAGACCAGGCAACGTTTTTCCAACCTTCCATTGTCCAATTTGGGGAACCCGGGCCAATTGTAGCCTCAGTTTCCTGTTCTTAGCTGTCAGGAGTGGCACCTGGTGTGGTCTTCTGCTGCTGTCACCCATCTTATTCAAGGTTGGACGTGTTGTTGGTTCAGAGATGGTCGTCTGTATACCTTGGATGTAACGAGTGGTTATTTGAGTTACTGTTGCCTTTCTATCATCTTGAACCAGTCTGGCCGTTCTCCTCTGACCTCTGACATCAACGAGGTATTTTAAGCCAGAGAACTCATCGGATATTTTCTCTTTTTCGGACCATCCTCTGTAAACCTAAGAGATGGTTGCATGTTAAAGTCCCAGTAGATCAGTGATTAGCTGATTAGCTATTTGCGCTAACGAGCAGTTGAATAGGGGTATCTAATAAAGTGGCCAGTGAGTGGAAAAGCTCACTCTAGTTTACAGGCCGGTCTTTATTCTTTAGTCAGAAACCCCATTAGTTGTTACCACAGTAACGACCACCCTTCCTGGGGTCCACATAAAATGCAAAAAACAAGACATTAAATTTTCACATCACAGATAATGTACATTAACAACACTGAATAAAACAAAAACGAGACAGCAGTAGTGATCTTCCATTTACAGTGTCACCACATCAGTAGATCATCAAGGCAAACCAATAGAGTGTGCCAGTAAACCCGGAACTCTGTAAGTGCTTTTAGCACTTCCGGTTCTCTCGTCTAAAAGTCAATACGTTTTTTGAATGGGATTTTGGTAAAATGCCTCAAATAAAGTCTGTGGTTAACAAAAGCTTAAGCGAGTTTCAGGTTTTGTTCTACGACATAAAACACGTCAGTAAATATCCTACTTGTGAATTTTGAAGTTTTTACGTGTCATAAAAAAGGCGGTTGCTAACAATTTGCTCAATACGACTACAAACCCTGTCGGGGACATTAAACATCATCACTCCCAAACAGGCGAGAGTGCTGGCAGTCCGCCATTACAGCTTCTTATTTATCTTAAACACTCCGATTTCCCCATTATACAATGTTTTTAAAATAAAGTGGCCGAAATCAGTTGAAAGCTTAGTGGCGGTGACGTAAAGAGTCATGCAACTGTGGAGTAGTCATGTAGTCTGTTA